GCGCTGATTGGCCGCGCGGCCGGGGCCGCTGACGGGGCGATTCTGCGGGGACGGTAGGAACTAGGGGGGCGGGCACTGAGGAGCCAAGCACTGCCCCGGGGGGGGGCGGGGCCGGGCTGGGGGCAGCGGCCGAGCGGCTGCTAAAATGGTGCGTGAGGGGAGGGAGGAGCGCATCCAATATGGCCCCTTGGCGGGCAGAAGCCAATCCCGGCCGCGGTTACTCTGGAGGCTGTAGCCGGGGCCGGGCTGTGGCGCGCTGGGCAGGCCGCGCCGCGCGGGGGAGGGAGGCCGGGTCGCTTGCCTTGCAGTGGCGCCATCTGGCGCTGCCGCTTGACCCGGCTCCACTCCGCTGTCGCGCGGGGTTTACCCCGGCTGGGGAAGGAGCTCGCAGCTCATGCCGTTTCCCTGTGCCCGTTGCAGGGCGGGCGGCCCGAGCCTCGTCGCGCCGGGGACGAGGACGGAGCGAGGCGGACACGCGCCCGAGCGACCCCGGGGCAGAGCTGCACGTGCGGAGCCTGGGCAAAGGTGGCCGCTCCTTGCCTGGGCCAGCCTCGGCCCGTCGCAGAGCGGAGGAGTCGTGGCCGCGGTGGCGGGAAGGAGGCAGCTCTTATGTGCCCTGTTGGCTGGAAAAGCCCTGTTGAAGGACTGTTGGATGAAGCCTTAAGGGCCACTGCTCCTGCTGGCCACACCCCGCGTTGGCCCCCATGCTAGTGTGGGGTGGCACCTGCCATGGTGCCAAGGCCACCTTATCTACAAATATAAGCTGAACAGAAATCCTACAGTTGTTCAAAGATGCTTAAGTCTGGACGAGTCAGACACCTCTAGAAGATCCCGGAGGGGCAAGGGGAGAAATGATAGCTCCTGGAAGAGCTGGAAATATGACAGATGGCAGAGCCTGGGCTGGGCAGTCAGGACCAGAGAAAACTGAAGCTAGAAAAAAAGCAGTGGATGGACTGACTGACCCTCTTATGCTACAGAGCTAGAAACTTTGGGGACAAAAGAGTGGCAGCAGCAACTTTGGCTGCTTCTAGGCCACAAAGCTGAGATGAGGCTTCAGTGGAAGGTGTTACTGACTTCTCCAACTGCAGAGCTAGGACAAGAGAGGAGAGTGGAAAGTGGACTCCTGCACAGAGAGCTGAGGAGTTGCTAGGTGAGGCTGGGGTAGCTGGTTGACACAAGATCCTGGAGCAGAAGAGACCATCCCTATGTTCCACGGACTGTTTGTTGTGATGAAACTCCCAAAGCAAGAAATAAAGGGTACAGTTTAAACTCTTCTGCAATAACGGGTAGGCAAAATTAAGCCCATGTCCCAGATCTGGCCCACAGAGGGACTTCAGCCTCAGCCTCATGGAAACTGGCTGAGCGCTGCAAGCATGGCCCTGGCCCGGCCTGTCCCGTGCCTACACTGGGCCCTGTAGGTACTGGACCATGTACCTGGCTGGAGTAGACCAGCAAGGACATGTCCGGGCCTGTCTGCCTGCAGTGAGTGGCGACAACCAGGTGCTGCTGCTGGGCACAAGGGAAAAGTGGCCTCTCCCCCTGGCTGCTGCTGGGCCCTTCTTGTGGTGCCCAGCAGGGCAGCAGTAGCAGTGGAGAGGACCCACAGGGCAGCCTGGGCGAGGGTTTCTGGCAGCTGCCACAAGAAGGGCCTGGCAGCAGCAATGGGGAGGGGCCACTTTTCTCCCACACCCAGTAGCAGCTTGTGCCTGGCTGGCACTGCTGCTCAGCATGGGTTTGAGGTTGTGCACATGGGTCCCGGGTGGGTCAGGGCAGGGCTAGGGTAAGTCCTGGGTGGGTTGGGGCAGGGCTGCTGGGCATTGGTGGCAGTGAGTAGCTGCAGGGTGGGCTCCGTGGTTTTGTGAGGAGTGGTGAAGACTAGCCCGCGACAGCTCCTGAAACTGCCCAGGTGGCTTGCAGGCCCAAATAATTGCCCACCCCATGCTATAACAATTCTCTTGCCTCAGGTGCCTTTCATTGTGAGCCTTTTTATCGTTACAACCTCTATCAAACTTGTGTACACTTCAAAATTATAAAGTGCTACATAGTAGAATACCATACAAGGTCTTAGAATTTCTCATAAGGTACTACCGACTAAATGTAGTGTTTGGATACCTCTTAGCAACCCTCACTCCAGCCCCATCTCGGGCCCCAAGGTTAGTCCAAAAAGATGCTATTAGTGTTTGAAAAATTTCAAACTTACTAATTTTCCTCCAGTGATGGTGACTTGCAAGCACTCATTTTCTAAAAGGTTTTAGAAAGCATACATACCTAATGTTTTAGCTGACATGAGTTACCCCATTGTCTTATTTCCTTAATGTGGCTGTCAGTAGCATTCTACTTTTGATAAATATTCTCAGAACTGCAAATAGGGTGAGTGGTAGAGCCTGATGCTACTCTAGAATGGCAAAGAACATGAGTCACAGATGGAACTGAAAAATGGGAACAAGAAATGGTTTTATTGGTCCACAGAACACAACTTGTCTGCTGTTGCCTCCTTCATGTGTTTTCACAGAAGTTACACATACATGCACTTGAATAAAATCTACAGATTTATTTTGGGATCCTTTCCCTTCAGTGTTAGCATCTAGACAGTTTCATCTTCTGGTAGATGTTATAATTTCAAAAATTCCTTCTACCTGTGTAACCTCTGCTGCCACATTATACCGAACATTGAAACTCAGCCACCAGTTCATACCATCAGGCTCATTGTGAGAGCTCTTCAGTTTCACAGCACTGACGTCCTCCTTAACTGAAACTGTCTTGATGTATAGCAGGGCATGCAACCCTTAAAATTCTGTGATAGAGGTGGATGGTGAAGGGTGGGAATTCTCTCAGTCTCCTTTTTTTCTTCATGGTCTCTGTTTCTCCTTAAAAGCCTGGAAGATCTCATAGCTCGAAGTCATCAGTATATACCTTGAGCTGGTGCATGGAAATGGAACAATTCAGCTTAGGATTAGTATTTGTATGCCCAGCAAGGGGTCTACTCCTGATTGTACTATAGGTTACAGTGGTTGTACTATAGGTCGACTCTTCTTTGTCAAACAGGGTCTTTTACCCTTCCCTTTGGAGGTAGGGAAAAATTGTTCCCAAGAGGGAGGAGAAAAAAATGGGGACAGGAGGGAAAGGCTGTTGTACTTGTCTGGCTTCAGGTACCTTGATTAGCTTGAGAAATTAATGCAAAAATAGTAGGGTCAGAACTGAATTGAAGTTGCCATGTCCAAATTGCTGAGATTCCAGACTTGCCCCAGGAGCTCCTTTGATCTCTCTCATAGCCACTCTCTGGGACCTGGTAGGGAAAAGGGAACTGATGTCCACAAGTACCACTGGTTCTTCATAGACTACTCTTTAAAGCTCTGGTATTAGCCTTCCAGCATGCTGGGAGAAACCCCTGAATTATTGCAACTATTTGCTGAACTACTGCTTTTGCTCCTTTTTTTAACCCCTTAAACTGGATTGAAGAAAAACAGCATGTTCCAAGATACACAAGGTGCTGATTACTGCATCTCACTGGGTGTTCTTTTTACACGGTTCTAGCCGAAGGAGGTTGCAGTATTTTGTAGTGTTGTTGTTTGGCAGTATATACATTAGCTAGTCCTGGGCTCCCCTTCCCACCACCCTCCCCCCATAGATCATGCTGTTCACCCATAGATATGCATGAACAGCATGCTGAAGTTAGTAACTGGAAACAGATGGTTTTGCAGAGGCAGATGTATGGAGACATATGCCACAGCATGATTAGAAACTCCTTAGCTTACAGCTTACCTGTTGTAAGTTGTGTACCCAGCACAAAAAATGATCTAACTGAATATAAACCCAGCTTGTCAGTCATAAACAAAACTATGAATCTGATTACAGCTCAGGCAACTATTTTGGCCAGAAGGGTACTTATTGGAAAGTGAGAATGCTGCATGCTGCCTGAAAGTAACTTTGAGCTCGTGACCAGAAAAAAAAATGAACTGGAGTATCCTGCACTCAGCTTGTGAAAATTAGAATATCTGGGCAGCTGTAGAGATAAAGTGTTAGATAGGCATAACTCACCAGTTTTGATAGTGCTATTATAGTTATTTAACTGCTTTTACCATCACAGGTACAAATGCAGTGTTAATTGCTTTAGACAAAGTAGGGGGAAGTAAAAAGAATCCAGGGACAGCTCTGAAATGAAAGCAGCTGCTATTAAATAAGAGCTGATAAAATATACTTATTTATAAAAATTATTTATTGAATAAATGGAATATTCACCAAAAATAATGAATTAGAAGTTTGTCAAAAAAGAGAGGCCTATATTTTTAGTTTGGCAACTGACAAGTTTCCTCAGTGTTTTGAGGGGGGGCTGAGGCATTTGCTTGTTTCTGGTAATCAAGGGGAGCATATCTTGATCGGAACTGGCCAGAGGAAAGTGCAGATTTGGGGAGGCTAAGGGTTGGGGCCCAGCTTTAGAAACTGGATTTGTGAACCTGGGCCTTGGGTACAATCCACACTGTTTTGCTAAGTTTCAAGAAGGAAGTGCAACAGGAATGATTTTAGACATGTGACTCAAGGTTCTTGTCACAAGGATGAAGCCCTCTAAGGCCAGATGGAGTGCACGACTAAGTGGCCATGTGATTGTCTATGAACCACATAAGGCAAAATTCCAAACAAAACTGCCATGTTACATTGTTTATGTACGATTCAGGTAGAGGACTTAGACTGAAGAAGTTATCACTTTCTACAGCCACAGGAATAGTGCAATTCAGCTGAAGAGTGGTGGTAAACTTATTATACAAGGGTAACTGTGATGTCAGGGAAAAGCACCAGGGAGAGTCAAGAGAAAACCCAACCAACTTTGGGGAGCCTAGATACAAGTGTAAAAAAAAGTCCAAATCATTAACAAACCAGATCTTGGGAATGGAGGCTTTTATTTGAAACACCATTTCTGTAGTGTGTATTTTGATATAAGAGAAACTGAAATATGGTGGCATTCCCAGACAGAAGATATTGAGAAGAAGATTGATCCAATAGTTTTAAGACTCTGTAGTGGAGTTAAGACAAAAGCTTAAAATAAGTGTTGGGGGGGAGTACGAAAATTAAGAATTTTCCTAGCTCTCACTCTAGACAGCAGGAGGGTTAGAGACTGTTGAAACTGTCATGAGGTGAAATTAAATTGGTATTTACCTGGAAAAATCACCTAAACCTCCCCATGACTCACTAGTGAGCTCCTGCTGCCTGGACCTGTAGTAGAGATAAAATTCCACTGAGAGAGTGAAACATAGATGTAATAAAGTATCTATTAAGTACGGTAGTTAAACATCAAGGACTAGATCCTAGGTTGTTGTAAAGAGGTGGTGTAGTTCCACTGACTTCCAGTGTATGATCTAGCTCCAAGATTTCCACAAAATGGCAGGGGCAAAATCATGTCTTGTGACTCATTGAAAATTTGGCAGTAAATTCAATGATGATATATTAGGACTTCTTTGGGCTCCTTTGGAAAGTTCAACCATTGGCAACACGTAGGGGGTGCACACAGGTGTACATGCACATCCTGAGCATGGTGGTGCACCCTCTACAAAAAGGCGCCGCCAGCAGTATCACCACCCCCCAACCCCATCACTGATACTGCCAGTGGCGTCTGTGGGTGGTTTGCGATCACCGCTGGACCCTGCTGGTGGCATCTGCAGGCAGTCACCACCCTTCCCCCCACCCCACCACCGACAGTGCTGCGGCCGCCTGTGGGTCCTCCCCACTTGCTACCACCATGCTCCCACCACCAACAGTGCCACCACCGCCTGCGGGAGCTTGCCGTGTCCCCCCAGCCTCCGGCGGCATGTGGCGTTCATGAGGTCAACCCTCCATCCTTTCTAAAAAGTAGCATAAAGCCACCTAGATAAAGTCCAGTCCCTTACAATTTCAGGCAATTAAGTAACAAATCTTATGCCCCCAGAGGGGAATACAAAAACACCTGGTCTTACCCCAATCACAACAGGGCTTTAAGTACAAAAATTGAAGATGTTAAAA